CGCGCCCGCCCGCCCGCTCGCACCAGCCGCGCCGCCGCCGCCGCCGCTGAAATGTTATTAGAGCTCCACGGCGGATCTCGGGGCTCTTCTGCTCGCTTCTTTTCCCTTCAGAAATTAAAGCAGAGGAGCATCTGAAAGTGGAAAGGTCCCCCTTCTGGTAGGATGGATGTAAAAGGAGGCCACAGTTTGTTCTTGAGGGGGCCAAAAGGGAAATGCATGGCTTGGCTTTGCATTGTCGGACTTTAAATAAAGTGTGGCTGTTCTTGTTGCCCACGCTCGGGAAATCTTTTCTAGGGCAACAACAGACCTGCCAAGTCGCTCTTATTTGGAGTCTTTTTAAAGGCAAGTTGTTTGGACTTTTTTTGCTTTTTCTTTTCGTTTAGAGAAAGTCAGTGACGCTGAAGAATGTCATAATGTGATTCCAACGAGACAGCTTTCGTTTCACTCTTTTAAATAACATTCTGAAATTGACATAGATCTCTGGCTGGAAAATAAAGCTTTGTCTTGATTTAAATTTTTTTTTAAAAAAAGAGCAAGAGGTAAGAAAATATGCACGTAAGAATATGTGAACAAGAAAAGAGCTTCTAAAATATATTGGAATGTTTGCAGATTGGTGGGGTTTTGTTTGTTTTCAGATAGTTTTGCTTTCTAACTTTTCACCTGCTCCCATCCCCAAACAAAAAACCATCGCGTGTTCCCTCCTTCTACCTTGTGCTAGGAAGAAGGATATTGTAATTTTTTTGCTATTTATCGATTGGACACGCTTGTCAAGTCATAAATGCCTGGCAGGACTACCAAAATAGAGCTTAGATTCACAAGTCTTTGTGGAAATTAAGAGATTCAGAATGGAGTTAATTAATTACACGAATGGGCAGAATTTAGTACAGGTGGTATTGTTCTTAATCAGATAAAAAAATTCTCCATTCTGTAAAATTAAGATACAACTATTGAGACCACCCAAGACATCAAAGCTTTGAGGAATTTGTAATTTTTTTTCAGTCTAACACTTAAACTGCTTTGACCCCAAAGTAGATACAGTGTATGTTTTCCCCCAATATCTTCATTATAATTAAGCGAGTTGTCAGTCCATGTAAAGTAATTCCTAAAATGAAATCATAGTTGCAGTGAAATAAATATAATTTTGCATGGCTATGAAATAACGCATACAACTTTAGTTGCAGGATCTATGTTGGACCATTCAGGATTCTAGATTTTGTACATAACTTTATAAGCATTCAGTTTCACAGAAATCCTTCAGAAAGGAAAAAATGTATAAACTCCAAGTTTTTACAATGCTTTCATTTCATGTGGCAGCCATATGTGTGCAGATTGCTATGCTGCCAGGTACGTGTGGTCCCAAGTTCTGAGTGATACTATCTAAAATATTGATAGTATCTAAACCTGTTTTTACTGGAAACAGGTTTACAGTGAAAAACTAACATGTTACTAAAGTGTAGCCTAATTTGTTAAAGTTGTCTTCTGTGTGGGTTGATATTTTTTGTTCTTCCTCAGTATACTTTTGTCTATTTCAGTCTGTGATTGTTCTTTCACTTCCCAATGTTAATATTTCTCTTGCCTTCCTCTGTAAGATGGATAAAACCTTTAGATCAGAGACTGTAGACCTGTCTCAAGAACCTCAGATTCTAGTTTGGGATAGTACTGCATAGTGCTTCCAGGGGGAGTTATAGTACCAACCCCCCAAAAGACAAAAACAACCATTTTTACCTACATCTCACATATTAACCTACACAGATAGGGAAAAATGTTTTTGAAACATTTCTTTAAATACTGTAAGTTCAATATCAAATGATGGGGGAGGAGGGGGACGACACTGAATATGTCTCTAAACATAAACTCCAAAATCCATCCATGAGCCCAAAGCCACCATCTCAAGAGTCTGAGTAAAAAGCATGAACTTTGTAAATACTTGAGTGTCATCATTGATGTGGAGTAATAACACATAAAGGAACATGTAGAAGGAATTTTACTAAAGACAGGACAAGTATTTTTTTAGGACTCATTAAGGTGTCCAGAAGCGCAAGACAGACACATCCATCCCACCTTTTGGAGGGCCAGGTATGATCAAGACCTGGTAGGCAACACCCCCGCTGATCTCAGCCTCCCTTACCATTCTAGTCCATGTGAATTAATCAATTATGTGGAATTGGTGAGCACTTGGCTTTCATTAAGCACTGCTGAGTAGACTCACAATTTCTTTCCATGCCTCATAAATAAACAGTCATCAAAAACATACAAACTATCCAATGTATATGGAGAAGGCAACACAGATGCTAAAGAAGGAAAACTGTGTTTTGTCTTTCATTTGCCAGCATAAGAGAACATAATTAGCAACTGCAAATATGTAAATATGCCTAATTAATAAACATCTTTCTTGCTTACTAAAATTTATTTGGGGAATAGTGAACAAATATATGCTCAGTTACTTATCTCCCAACTTTTAGATGTATTGTTCCCATTCTTAAATAAAAACTAAAATTTAAGCTACAATCAAAATGTCATTTATTCAACAACAATTTACTGAACACCATCATCCGTCAAATTGTGCTACCACCAAGTAGTCTATGCAATGTTTCATGAACAAATAGAAAAGACAAACATAAGCCTTATAAATTTTAGGTGTTATGTACAGATAACCTGAATAATAGTATAAAGTTTGAAATGAGACAGAACCTCCATTACTCAGTCCCTGCATTAAGAACTTAAGCATCTATATAATTAAACTTTCCAATTCTTATTAATGCATGATTTAACTTCCAGCTTTTTTCTTACACTGACTCCATAGCATCCACTTTTAAGATATTTTGCACTTTTAAGAAAATCTTTTATCAGTAAAACAAACAGAATATCTGGAACTGAGAACTTCATTTGAAAAAGATTAACTTTTTTTTCCAACTCTTAATTCCAACAATAAATATATTGCTACAGGAGGGATTAATGTTAAAGGAATTCTGTGTCTACGAAACCCGACCTCAAAGGAATTAATTACAGAAAACATATTAGGTATCAGTTCAACTAAATCTTCAATTTAAAATGTCAGTCGCAAAACGTAAATCTCTTTGATAAGTTTTAAGTAATAGTGTCAAAGTTGCAATCTGGGGTCCAAACCAATTACAAAGAAAATGCTCTATTTGTGATTTTATATAAGTATCCTTAACAAAAGTTTTACTTTCTTTTACTTATCTATACTATGTAACAATTTCATGTAACATTTTCAGATTGTTCTAAAGACTGGTTCTAGATATTTTAAAAAGTGTTGCAAGTTTACTTCAAATCTAAGTGTAGTATCTGCCTGAGTAATATGGTGTATTACTTTCCGAAAGCTTTCTTTTAAGGAATATCCTTTAGAAAGACCTTTTAATGTCATATGAAGGAGAGATGTTCCATCAAAAGCCACCTGAGTCGTGTGTGTGTGTGAATGTATAAAATATAATTGTTTTATATATATAAATATAAAATATATGTGTTGTATATTCACACACACATACATACATACTAACATATTAAAGTTAGAACAATGTGTAAGGGGCTTTTAAATTAACATTTGTTGACAGATGTTTATCAACATTTGTGCAAAATGTCAGGGATGCATATGGGAAGGCAATGTTTTTAGCACACAGAAACTATTGTTTATTTCTAGTTCCTTTACTTATCCACCACGTAATCCTCAATAAATTACTTGATATCCATCCCCCATACCTATTACCATCCCCCACCTCTTTTCTTAATCTATGAAATGGGTAGTAATATTTGACTGAAAAAGCATTTAAGAACTTCATATGGAAAAGTCTGTACTAAATACATAAAGATAGCAAATGAATTTTGCCATTATGAATAATAAATTCTGTTTTCAATCTGTTTTTTTCACTAAGTCTTATTAACTTGACATTTTTTCCTATCATAAAATCTGAGTCATTAAGTCCCTTATAAAAATTTCTGATATATATGCATAGGAACTTTTCTATTTTTTGGTAAACTTTATCAAGAAAGGAATGTTTTAAAAATGCACAATATACATCATTTATGTTATACTATGCTAATGTAATTCAGTGAAATTTAAAAAATTTAATTACAACATATATAGAAACATTTAAAGCTCAACGTTTGTCACTGTCATCTTTTCTTTCCGAGGATTTCATAAGTACCCCAAATGTCCTTGCTGATCCCCTGAAACAATATAAAAGGAGAAAAAATTCTTTATTATAGAAGCTGTGAAAAGAAAAGAGAGATCTTACACTAGAATGATATTTGCAAGTAACAGAAGGTACTTTTGAAGGTATTTTTTAAAAGGTGAGGCATCATCTCAAGAAAATAGATTGCAGCATATTAGAAAAACTGGATGGTATTCATTCGAGAATCCTAAAGAATTTAAGGATATAGGTAAGTGATCTACTAACAAAAAATGAGCATGTACCATTAAAAGGAACCATAAAGGAAAAAAGCAGTTGATAGAAATTGAATATATCTTTTTTAAGTGTTGCTAATAATATGTATTTGTTGAACTTATTGTCAGGAACTAAAAATAATCACTGTAATCAGAACTATAAAAATAGTTTATAGATAATGAAATAAAGAGGGAATAATCACAGTTCCTAAAATGGTAAATTATGTTTCTCCTATTTTGAAAAATTTATAATAAACAAAATTTTTTGTTATATGTATCTAGATAATAATACCTAAGCATAAATATTTTAAAGTTTTAGATATTACACACAAGTGAACTAATTTTATACATTTAAAATAGAATATGTAATTTGTTTTATACCTCAAAATTTTATATTT